AAAATGTTCACTTGTTGCCTAATATAACCACCCACTGACAGGAGCCATGATAACCAGATAATCAGCATTATTCACTTCACCTGTCAGTGTACACTGTATATCCCAGCTTTCAATACCATCAAATATGTATTTGTATGTATTTTTTTTTTTTTGTAATTTCAAAATGATGAAACAAACTAAAAGGCAAAAACAACTAAATACACATATTACAACATATTAAGATAATTACAATGATAATATTGTTGCCTGCTTTTGTATGGCAAACAAAACTACCACAGATAAATCATCTGTAGTGGACACTTTGTATGTGGAACTATTGGAATATTTACAGTCTGTGTAAAGTAAATTCAGTGAGCAGCTCGGTCTTTTAAAGCCCTTTCTCTTTTGTCAGTATCGTTCAATATATCCTAACGTGTGTGAAAAACGCTATTGTATCAGCCAGTTTTCTTTAATACATTCGACAAATAAAAACACCAACAGAAAGAACAGAAAAATAACAACATAAATAAATTCTGTAGTGTTTCAGTTGCATTCACTCATTGGTGGTGGCTCAGCGCATGAAAAATAATGACAGCACTCCCCAAAATCTCAACAATCCATCAAGATCAGAATAGTGCTGGCACAGAAACGCCTACTACAACTGAAAAACAGATCAATGTGAAACCAAAATAAAAGTTAAACCCAAAACATTAGCAACTCAGAAAAACAGCCAAAAAATGAGGATGCAGCACTCTGTCATTTTTGGACAGTTGATACTACAAACTCAGTGATTGATTGATTATTTATTTTTCCCTTCTGGAGTTTCTGTTTACACCACCCCTCCACTGATTGTGTAGCACGTTCCCTGTTCTCTGGCTGAAATAAACAGAAGGAGCAGGAAATGATGTGAAGTTCCTGTCAGCATAGCTTGAATCCCAGTGTCTCGGTCTGATGTCAGAAAGTGGTAATTTAATTCCCTGTTGGATCCTCTTTAAACCGAGTTCAATACATGGCCTCCTCCATAGGGATACATAGAGATAGATGGATAGGAGGATGAATAGATTGACTTTCGGATTAACAGATGCTTGATGCTGTACTTCTTTCAATCATCTCTGGCAGTGATTTTCTATTTAATCTTTTTTTGCTCTCCCTCCTCTCAGTTATTGCTTTCACTTTTTTTTACCTCCCCACCTTTCCCCCTTTCTTGCAAAAGTCTTGTGGGTGGTGTATTTTGTTCTTGCAGAACAAGACAAAATGCAGTGAGAACATGTTGGTTTCGTGACAGGCAGCCAAGGCTGTTTTCCATTTGAAAGTGTGATGCTAACTAAAAAAAGGCAACCACGGAGCCTCTCATACTTGTTTTTGTATTGCGCCTGAAGTGAGAACTGTTTGTACCTGTCGTACTCGTATTGTGATTCTGAGTGACAGGGCGATCAGGAGTAATGAAAACAGACTCGGGAGATTGTTGTACTGTGAGCAGTGACAGTGAAACTATTTGAAGGGCTTATAGTTATAAAATTGTGCACAGATAAATGTCATGCCCTTCTTTCTGTTGTTGTTTCCCTCTGTTTGCCTCATCTCTTGGTTGCACATTTACTCGTGTTTTGTTTTCCCCTCTCTTTACTGTGTCTTATTGTGCCTTCGCCTCTCAGCTGGCAGTGTGCATGGGGACGCCCATCCTCACTCCATCATGGATTCACAAGGCCTGGGAGAGAAGAGATGATGTGTAAGTTTAAAATCCTTGAAGGAAGCCTCTGTACCATTGTTGTGTTGATGCTTGTATTTTAGCATGTTTAGCTAATTTTTATTTGTGTTTATTAGAAAAGAAGAAAAAAAACAGTTTTGAGATCGATACATATGTTGATATTTGAGAGTTAAGATAAGATATCGATGTGTGAAAAAGGGATGAGTACACCATGTATGTATTCAACCAACTAAATGATTTGTATTGTTGTTTAGAAGTTGTGATATTTATTAGAAAACTCTTTACAGAACAGCCTTAGAAAGTGAAATACACAGAATTGCTTAACTCCAACTGTCAGCCAGTGCTGACCTTCTCTGTCACTGGTTAAAATTCCAATCAGCTGTTGATGGCAGACAAAAGTGAAGCTTTGTATGCTCCCCTCCCGTGAGTGTTTCTCTAGTTCTAACAACTTGAACAGAATAGGATGTCGTCTCTCTAGATGATTGCATCGCATCAATTTTCTGAAGTCTCAAATTTAAATGCTATATCAATAATTGAAGATGATACATTTCACACTTTTGAACCAGAATTCTTTGTTTTTCAATATGCCGGATACATATGTAGTCAACATTGCATATATTCTGCTGCAGTGTAAACATAAGTATCAGACCAGAGTTGGTTTCAGCAGATACCCCATACTAAAAGCCTTTGTTTGACATCGAGGCATCCCAAAATGTGACGTGTAAGCATTTATCAAATGTTTTACTAAAACTATGAAGGAGTTAGACATGCCAGGCACTGTTTTAGGCCACCAATAGGCTTGTGTCAGCCCTGGCAGTGCTCTGGATTTCTATTGTAATTTGTATCTCATGTTCAAGAAAATATGAACAACATCTGTATCACTTCTTAAATTGTTACCTGTCCCAACAACCTCACTCGCCAAGCTAACGCCACGTAAAAAGTCACATCATAAGTTCCGCCTTTGCCCTTTTAATTGTGTGTATCAGAAACGTATCAGTTTGTGAAATTCCTCACAAGATTCTCAAAACGTCATGTTATGTGAAGCCCCACTTTAGGGGGTGTAAAGTTCCTCCAGTGGAAAGGGCAAGAATACTGGCAATAATACCGGATGTATTGTATAGGATATTTTACATTTGATAAATATATATTATTATGGAATGTAAAAGCTATCCTGTTTCTAAATGATCTCAAAGTACTGCAATGTCCTGTTACTTAACTACCAAGGCATATATACGATAATACTGATAAAAGCTTAAATAGATAATATAACCCATGCTGCGGTATCAGGCTGTTTTTTAAGGGACAATTGTGAAGTGGCTGGGGTTTCTTTCAGTTTTCATGAAATCTGGTTCAGTTTGCGCATACAGTACTGTATTTTTTTTATACTTTTTCTCTTTTCTCCCTTCAGAAGAGTTACTGCACAGTAGATTTTCTGTTCAATTTACTCAATAATTGCTTGATCTACACACATATAAATATAATAGAATGTATTATCAGAAAACTGTGTTCTTGACAGTTGTATGACCTTGCACATTCACATTTGAAAATAACCGTGTTTCTCCCACTTTCATCTATCCAGGTGCTTCCATGCAGGAGAAGAGGAGTTTCGAACAGAGTTCAAAGTGCCTCCATTCCAGGACTGCATCCTGAGTTTTTTGGGTTTCTCAGATGAAGAGAAGACCAACATGGAGGAGAGGACTCTCAAACACGGTCAGTGCTGCAGCTTTTGGAAAGATTTCAAAAATTTCAAAAATGAGTGTTCTTATTCGAGCACCATATGCACTGTTTCATCATTTTGGGAAAACTCAAAGCGTGACAGGTGACAGTTGCTAAGCTCTGATGTGTATGTTTTTCTCATCATAATATCCCTGTTTTTCTGTCTAAGGTGGCAGTTATCTTGAGATTGGAGATGAGAGGTGCACACACATGGTGGTAGAGGAAAACTCAGTAAAGGAGCTGCCATTTTCTCCCTCCAAGAAACTCTTTGCAGTCAAACAGGAGGTAGGTCTTTTAGTTAGAGTAGAGTTCATTTGCTTCTAAACACAAACTAGTTTGACACCTCTGTGATACTGGTACTTGACATAACAGAATAGTCGGGATACTTCTGCTCCAGGAGGATGCAAACACAAGGGGGGCAGGAGGAAAATAATGAATCCTCTAAGTTTTTTCCTCCTAAACAGAATGCCAAATGATCATCTGATCAGGAGTCCTTTTAGGCTAAACCTCAGTCGATGCAGTTTCTGCTCTCCCTTTTTCTGTCTGTGCTGTCAGAGAGGGGGATCAATAATAGATTTCCTCTTCCAGCGGAAGAATGATTTGAACCAAGGTAGAGGGGTGGTTTAGCTGTAGTTATAACCCCACAATCAATATGGCCTTTTCTTTACTGTGCCACGTTTATTGGTTTTCAAAGGAATGTGTACGGTATGTCATTATGGTGTCAAATCTTTTTTTCTACCTACCTCTGTCCTAATCCAGGGGTCAGTAAAAACAGTTCTCTCTCTTCTGTGGTAGTGGTTCTGGGGAAGCATTCAGATGGACGCTCGGGCTGGAGAATCTATGTACCTCTACGAGAAGGTGAGTGTATTATGAGTAACACACAGCTAACACGAGTACCAGGCACCTCTATTTACATTGCTCCCATTCCTGTTGCAAGTATGTGTTGGGAGGACCCCCGTTCAGGTTCCTCCAGTAGCCCCAGGAGGGCAATTTCATCATCATAGTTCTCTGTGCCCCTTTTTTTAATTTTGGAAGTTGAAATGGTATCATACCAGATCACAATTTACAAGACGTGTAGCTGGCCTTCTGACTTATATTCATCTTGTCTTAATATTTATCTTTTTGTCCCGCTGTACTCCAGAACGACAGCCCGGCCATGAAGAAGGCGGTGTCCCTCCTGTCACTCACCACCCCCAACAGTAACCGCAAGCGTCGGCGTCTGAGGGACACGCTCGCTCAGCTCACCAAGGAGACGGAGATCTCCCCATTCCCTCCACCACGCAAGAGGCAATCAGCAGAGCACAACCTGTCTATAGGTTCGCTGCTGGACATCTCTAACACCCCTGAGACATGCAAAGCCTTGGCAGGTAAGACGACAGGGGAGTGAGTGGAAAACATCTGCTTCATCCAACCCTAAAAGCCATTTCTGCTATATACTGATGGAAAAATGCAATACCTAAGAGGATGTTTCTATGATGATGGTCGATTCCCTCTTCTTCATAAGAGAACTGTAACAAGGTGAACCCCTCTCTTTATTCCAGAAGACAGAGTAGGGATCAGTTCAGACAGCAAAGGAGGCGATACTGTGACCAGGAATAGGATAAGAAGAAGGAAAACCAGGGACAGGAGGATTAGGACAGACAGGGAAGAGAGGAGGAAAAGGTCCTACCAGAGTACAAATCCCTTTCAACAACCAGAGGAGGAGCAGCAGCCAGGAACTTCTGCAGGTCAGGTTTTGCTTCAGCAGTAGGACAGTGCTGATGTTGACATCAGGCCAGAGTATGCAAAGTATGTGTTAGGAGGATGTAAGAAGTCTGTAATGATAAATGATGTAATGATAAGTAAGTCATGAGTGGAACAGTGAGAACTTGAGTTTTTAATGAAGCACTGGATTCTGCCCAGGCCAGGTCAGAGTAGTGGAGTACATATGTGAACATGGAGAGGCTCTCATTCTTTAGCCTGCACACATCTTCAGTTCGACTGGTTGAAATGACAAACTTCATCTGCGTCACATTTTAACAGATTTAAATTAAACTTTTATTTGTTGTTTGTAGGACTGCACCATATGGTAAAAACATGCATCATATTGCAACTATTCTGACAGATACTGCGATATGATTAGAGTAGGTAGCTACACACAAGCTAATAACATCTGCAGAAGAGGATTTGTAGGCCAGGGCATCTCTGCAGCACTACAGTATTTCATTATAATGCTGTTTGTCACACAGTTTACCTTTATCACAACATTGCAGCTTCTGCTATTTGCATATTGCACTTTGCAATATTGCAAAATTATTTCATTAATATTTTGATTAATTGTGCAGTCGGTAGTTGTTTTGCTTAATGGTGCCTACTGCAAGCTGGTGTCTGTACTTGGCCAAGGTATGTAGTAAACAATTTATGCATATTGTATTAATCTCTTTAAGTTAGCAACTTAATGATCACATTTAACTGTAGTTACTGTCAAGTAAACAAAGCTAAACCTCATTAGATTCCATAAGGACTTCAAAAGAATTTAAATGTAATAAGCAGATTCAAAACGTGATATGGATTTAATAATAATAATAATTGCACTGTTATACAAAGCTGGCACAGATCAGCCCACGCACTGGTGGCGTCTTGATGTCAGAGTTCCAGGAAAGCAGAAACCTTATCATAAAAGTTTTCTCTCGGTTAAAAATATCAGGAACAAAACTGAAAAGGTATCTTTCCATTGGCTGAGGTGAAGCAAATAAATGCAGTATACCAATACTCTCTACAGTAGGTCATATTGATTCAGCCTCAATCTCATTCTGATTGCTAAAAAATACACCTGAACGTGTCTTTTTGTGCCTCACTGCAGTATTAACAGCCTTCCCTCCTCCCTGCCTGTCTTGTTCCTCCAGAGAGTTCGAAGCCATCCAAAAGTTCGACTCCGGTTCTGTCCAAGCAGTCAGCCAGGTGGCAGGTCTCCAAGGAGCTCTACCAGACTGAGAGCAACTATGTAGACATTTTAAGCACCATCCTACAGGTAGCAGTGTGTGTCTGTGTGTTCACACAATGTGGACAATTCTAACACTCCCTCACAGGTTGGCCAGTCAGTTGCCCCTGACAACAGTTTCAGGCTAAGCTACAATCATTAAAGGTGTGTGTGTGTGTGT